GATGGACACTGTATTGAGCTAGCACTGACGCTCCAGCCCACACCCACGATTTCGCATCCTATTTAGCGGTGAAATATTTCAAAATACCCTGATGCTTTCCGCGAAATTATTCAGTCAGACAAGCAAAGAAAAGCTAACGTCATACACATATGTATTGTATATTTTAACGAACGAAGCAATACTTTGCTTTCAAGGTTGTATATATTGAAAGAGAAAAATTTTAATTAGATAAGAATCCATACTGAGTTTTTTTCTCTTACTGGGTAAGCAATAACTGTATTGAAAAAAACACACTGAATTTAATTTATTTTTACTCATTGTTTGTACTGTTCTTCGCTATAGTTGTCAAGTATTATTCTGAAAAGAAAACTAATTATTGGATTTTTTATCAATAAACAACGGTGAGTGCTCAGGGAATAGAAAAATGGAGAAAATTGTATTAAAAATAATGTCCATTACATCATCAGAAATATTAATGCTTTCTATTTTTTATTCTCTTGGTGGTAAAGTGCCGTTGGTGTCACAGAGGATTATTAAAATATTCAAGTAATCGTTCGACTGTCGAGTTTATTCTCTTATAAGAAGAAAAAGAAGAGTTTGTTGATTATTTTTTCGTATAAAAATAGTTATTGAGACGTTTCGTATCGACTATTATATTAATCTATTTATTCATCTATTGATTTACAGATATTCTACGACTGCCAAAGTTGTTTCATTGCCTATAATTTTGCGCGAAGGCTAATTCTCAAATAATAATATTCTATTTTCCGTTGACAAATGGCTTGGACATATTGGAATTGGATTGTTTGTAATATCCTCATTGGTGTGGGTATTTTTTTATTTACGTTCATCGTTATTGCATTTCTATTCTGGCATTTTCATAACGTATTTTATAGTATGGTTGAGAGACTTTTCAATATTAAACGTTGCATTATTGACGTCAATCATCAAATTATTCGACATAATCACGAAGTACATGCCCCAAGTACTTGTACGATGAAACTTAAGGGTTTCGCTTTGAGACTCTTTAGTTGCTTCAGAGACGTTGCTGGAGACGATTCAACTACATCAAAGGATGACGACAATGTAAACTCGAAAGAATCGAGGAAAGAAAACACATCTGATGGTACTGTGGAACAAATAGATGAAACTGTACAGTGCTGCTGGCCTTCAGAAGTCGACGTGGAACAGGCAAAAAACCCGCCTGCACAAGTAGTTTCACCTTCGTCGCTATCACTAACAACAAAGCAGTCAGAAGATACAGAAATCGACCCATCCCATCCGGCACATCCAGAGCATGAACGAGAAGTATTGAACGTGTACGGTAAATTTCTTACTTTAAACAAAAAGAGAAACACATTGGTAATTTTACTTATAACTGCAACTGTTATCTCTGCTGTTATTATTGCTGGTTTTGCAGGTTGCTTCATGGTCGGCATTACTGTTTATGAAGATGGTCCATGTCCATACTATGGTATTATGGATTGTTATTATGGTAACAATCAAACTTACTTTCAATGTACACCGAACATATCAATTACTTTGCCAGGATCCAAAAGTGCGGCATGTTTTCGTTGGATTGGACGTGATATTACAGTATCCGATGTCATGACACAAGTTGGTGCTTGTACAGGATTATTAACTGCGTTGGGAGCTGTTCTAGAAGTCTTTATACGTTTCCTATATTTTATATTGCAACAGCGCCTTTGTGTATCAACTGGCATACGTCGTGTGATGGAAAAAACAGCTGGTATTAATAGATTTACTCAACCAAGTCATTGTTGTTGCTGCACAATACCACACCGTCTTGGTGTTCTAGATCTACGTTTATACGAACATCCGATTCTTGTAGTAATTGTCTTCATTATTTACGCTATGATACCAATAGATGTTGCTGCCTCAATTTTTTTAATGATAAACTTTCGAATCAGTATAACATCCTTAACATATGTTGTTATGGCTACACTCGTACTAATTTCATGTATGGGTCTCTTATGGATATTATGGGAAGAAAACGAGATTGACCAAGTCATTCCAGGCGCATGGAATGATATAAATGATACAGTTGCTTCAATGAAAAATCCTTTTTCAAAATTAAAGCCTCTTCTTGAAAGTATTATTCCAAAAGAAGATATGGAGAAATTCAAACATTTTGTAGATCATGAACTGGTTGAAGCTCGCAGTCATATTAACTCAAAGCTCAACGAGATAAATCAATATACCACCAATGTTATGGACGAAATAACTAAACAGATTGAAAATAAATTTCCAATAGAGAAAATGGAACGATTGAAGCCCCAATCTAATGATATACGTTCAATAGTTAAAAACTTTTCATTACAAGGTTCAGCTCAAGAAATAAAATCAAAAATAGAAACCGAAAAAGAAAAAGATATCAGAAATCGCAAGACTTAATAAAATATGACAATATTATATTGATATATTTTTAATATGAAATCATTTTTAATCAAAAACTAATTTTTTACATGAATATGTATGATTATTAGAATATAAATGTTTTAGTTTATTTTATTCAAGAATATATATAAAAAAACATTCATCTCGATTATAATGAGTGAGGGTGTGGGTGTGGATACTGCATTAATTTACCACCCACACCCTCAGCTCCGAATTCACATACAAGATATTTAAGAAATAGTCAGTAATAATCGTGCATAATTTTAACAATTATGTAAAGGGTCGATACGAATATTATTATTATTATCAATCAATCCAGAAGATAATGATCAACTCTTCTGTCCAAATGATCAATGTGTAGGTCATCACGACACACCTATCCATTGATATTTCGGAATGAGAACTTGAAATATTTCCTTCGCTAACCGTGTACAGTCACGTTTACAATATGCGGCATAAAAATGCGGGAAAGTAACGATTCGTAACGATTGGTTACGAAAGCCCAGTTCGGAACACGGCTTTCGTAACAATGTAAATTGGAAAATTGATAAAAAGCAGTGCTTTCGTAACGATTCATGACATAGCTTCCGTATCGTTTTTGACAAGGCTTTCGTATCATTTTTTAACAGTTTTCATATCAAGTTTACAGGGCTTTCGTAACAATTTAGATAGGATCTTCGTATCGTTCTTACAGGGCTATCGTAACGTATACGAATTTAATATGATATCTAGTCCGATGTTACTGATATGATTTCACATGGAACTTAGAGATCAACCAGAATTATAATGTATGGAATTCAAAAATAGAAAGAGAGAACGAGAACATAAGTATGGGCAAATATTTATCTTTTTTAAATCTGTTTTTTATTAGCACAATAAGTAACAACAATCAGGTAATATACTATAGAAATAACAAGGACATCTATGAATATAAACAAATAATTTATTTATAGTATAGTACCATGTATTTGGATTATTTAAGTATATAAAATTTGTTATGAATGGATCTTACTTAATGATTTAAGCGATGTTTGTAAACATGAGTATTCGTAACAAATACCCTGTTATTTTTACTATCAGTCTCTCATTTTAGTTATGAATGCAATAAAAACTTGCTTACGAAAGCTATGTCAAAATTCGTTACGAAGGCCCTGTAAAAAAATGATAGCAGGGTCTTCGCATTACGAAAGCCCGAGAAATTTTTCGATATGAATCGTTACACCCCCAAAAATGCTTTTAGCAACCTATGATAGAAACGATCGAATGAGGATGTGCATGTGGATTTTGATACAGTCGAAACGCTTCTCAAGATAAAACCATCATACTAAGAGATATACTAGTTTTTTTTGTGATATTCAAGCAAAAAATTACAAAAAAAAATGTTTGCTGAAGCCTAATTCTTCGTAAGACAATAAATGATCTACAAAACTAGTTAGTTGTTGCTGGTTGGGCTGAGTCGGTTACATCTTCGCCTTGTGTACCTTGAGAAGAAGAAGGTTGTGCATTGTTGGATTGATTTTCGTTCTCGTATGGAGCAAGTAGCTTCCTCATAAGTTTATTCTCTTTACACCTATGGTCAGATATTAAAAATCAAAAAAGGAAGATTTTAAAGTATGTTCTTACGCATCAATGAACTCGTTTTTACTTAATGCGTTATCTCCATTTGTATCGAATTTTCTGATAATCTCCTGGGCGAATCCTTTTGGATCTCTATAAACGCTCTTTTTTCGATCTTCATCATCTTCACAATAGACACCGCCAACTAAATCGTACTGAAAATAAAATACACATCGATACATTGATAAAAGATACATTTCTATACCATAGCTGTAAGCAGGTGAGTTAATTCTTTCTCATCGATTTTATCATCGTTACCTGAAGTATTATACCTAAAGAAAGCAGAGTTTTGTGAACAT